ATTTTTTGCAAAAAATATCTCTCTCTCTCTCTCTCTCTCTCACACACACACACATATATATATAATAACATGAGTTTATTACCATAATTACTGTAAACACAGAGGAACACAGATCTTTGTTTATTTAACAGTTGAAATGAAGAAACGAGTCTCTGCGCCTCAGTGGAGGGTTTTCATGACGTCACAAGACGTTGGAGAGTCTCCACAAAGGCCGTGCGCCACAGCCTTTGTGGGCAGTCAGTCTGTCTGTCAAGCTTTTGCTCTCCTACTTACAGCGTTTCCACAAGTTTACCAAAGTAAATGGTTTTCTGCTGCTTCTGTTCGTTTTTGTTTCTTTGCAGATATTGATGAGGAGTTTAAGATGGAGCTGGTGAACCTTGTGCCAACACTCCTGTCTCCTGAAAACCTGGTGGAGAAGGAGATCGGAGGAGTAAAAATCACTTGTAAAGACTTGCTTCATTACTTTAAAGTGAGTTTGATCAGTTGTAAATATTAAGCCTTATCTTTTCAAAGCTTCATTAGATTTATGTAGAAGTGAAGCAGCACTAGACAGATAAGAAATATATATTTTGAAATGAAGTAAAGAAAATGTCTAAGTGGCTTATACTAGGAGTTCCCAAACTTTTCCATGCCAAGGCCCCCCAAATAACTTTGGCTTCTGGCCGGGGACCCCCTTGCAAGATTAATGCTGAGAGCTGGAACAAACCCAAAACAACAACAAAGCAGAGCGATGAACAGTTGTAGCAAAATCAAAGACGCTCTTGCCAAAAAAATAAAGGCATCATGTAAATATCTCTAAAAATGTTACAGCARATTTATGAATAAAGTTAATAAATAAATGTGCTTTAATTCCCTTTTCTGTTTTCATTTAGGCTCTGTAATAAATGTCCACAGCATTTCAGTGTCAACAAAGTTATATCTGTCAGATTCTGATCATCTAATTGAATTTTTAAGTTGTTCACAAGCGGTTATTTTAGATTTCTTGTACATCTGTCTTAAAATGTAAAACATACTGGAGCCAGGTTGGGATGTGGCTCACAGTGGGCACTTTAAAATTCCCTTTATTTTCAAACCTAAAACCTAACAAATCAGAAAGATGAGCGTGAAAGATCTTTCAATATATTATAAATTATATTTAAAATTGCAACTGAAAAACAGAC